GTTTAGGTAGGTTTTCTGCTGCTCCAGACTCTTTAAGCACATTTGATATGACAGACGTACCAGTGAATCAGCAGCATCGACTGTCTTTCTGCAAACGTTTGCACCTGCAAGAAGTTTGTGTCATCGGTTCAATTTCTTCTGGTAAAACTAAGTAGTAATCCAGCTACACAGAGACCAAGGAGTCATGTTGTTTATTCACATGATGAAAACACCCGTGTGAGCACGAGTCACAGCAGAAATTTATTCAATTAAAGATAATGTTTTATTTTTAAATACCAACCAAAGGAAGTAGAATAATCGTGGGAGTACACGGTAACTCAAGCTGTCGATACGACACTGCTGCCTGTGTGATGTTGCTGATGTGGAAGGAGGAACTGCATTTCAATATTTAAACAACAGTATGTTGTAATAATTATTGTACTTCTAGTACTTTTCTTTGGGTCAACTTCAACTGCAGTGAATGTGTTTCTTTGTCACAGCAAAACAAAAATCACCTCTACACTGTCTTTGAGTGGGAAACAGAAGACTATGTAGCCTTTCTACAGTGTCTAAATGACAATATTATTATAATCATTTTTGACTTTTTATCAACTCATATGTTGTGGTTTATTTTGTCCGGCTTTTGGAAATCCTGGCCCATAACCATTTCTATTCTGGTTTGGATAAACTGTCACACTCCAGGGCTACACAATACCATTTCATTAAGCACTGGCTAGCTCGTGGTCATGTGATTAACTGTAAATGTGATTCTGTCTCTAGGTCACTCAAATAACTCTCTCTGCCTGCGAGCAGGTCACGCGTCTGTGGGTGGCACCGTGGCTTCCATACAGGCCACATAATCTGGAAATATTTTCATTTAAGACTGAGCTTTTTCCAAAAAAAAAAAAAAGTTAGTTTCCCAAAGGTGAATAATTCCAGACTGCTTTGCTCAGATAAAAATTTGAAGATATTCTTAAGATAACAATATCTGTAATATTGAAAAGTAATGGCATTAATAATATGCTGATGATATCATCCTGTTCATATTATGTTGTATAGTGTGTATATTGTGATATATTTGGAGCAAATTAAAAGGATAATGCATATTATCTGATCAGATTATAAAGAGTTGGGAATTATAATTATATACTAAACCAAAGCATTGATATCTTTATGGATCTATGATAACACTGCTGCTTCTTATATGATGATTATCTAAAGTACAGAAGCCAACCTCTCTCTCTCTCTCTCTCTCTTCACTTTGCAGTAGATTGTATTCTGGTATCTCTCTTTATCTCCATAATCACACTTTGTCTATTATTTCTAAATTAATTTCACACAAACCGCTCCCTGACTCCCTGCCTTTTACAAACATTTAGCACGCACACACACACACACACACACATTAAGGCCTCGACCCAGTGAAGGGATGCACATACACACACACACACACAGATTAGCGAGAGAAATGGGTCCCACTCCCAGGTGGAAAATTGAACATTTGGATTTGCAGAATGAAAGCCTTACTTCATGATGGGGAAAAAAGACTGAAAAGAAAGAGAAAGGAAAATCAGATAATTGAAGTGCTAAATCAAGTGATGGGAAAAGGAGGGATATGCATTCATTATAGCCTCCTTGTTGTTAGCAGAGGAAGACGAGAGAGAGAGAGAGAGCGAGAGAGAGAGAGCCTTGATCCTCTGTTTCGTTGTCTATATATATTTTTTTTTTCTTGTTTTTTGGATTGCCCTCTCTGTGTTCGGGTGTCTGCTGGGAGACAGGATTAGGATGTCTGTCTCTACACTTTCCTGTCCCTCCTGGGACACCTTTCTGTCACTCAGCCCCTCCTTGGCGTACAGGGGCACAGATAAGGGACTCAGGCGCGAGTGAGTGACTGCTGCGCACGTGTCTCTGCGATTAAGGGATAGAAATGAATGTTTATGAATGTTTGTCACTGAATGACAGTTTTGTGTCACTAAAGCAGTGATGAGTGTATACTGTGGTGTTAACGTGTTTCCCTGAGGTAAAGCTTCAATTTAGTTCTAATTGTTAAGAGAAGTTTCATGAAACCAAAGTGGAGTCGATAAAATAGACTTCACACGAAACTGACTTTATTCACTGTGGCTGCTGACCACAGGTCTTTGCTAAGGATGGTGCGTCGTCACAGCTGCTAAGGTTTACATCATGACTGGAGTTAGTCTCCACCTTCTTGAAGGTTTTCTTAACCTCCTGGGCGCCTGAAACAAACTTGTGACAAATGTTACAGCAGCCCCTGGACCAAATGATAAGATGTTAATTTTGAATTTTGATCGGAAACCTCAACCTTTTTCATGGCATTAAAGTGATTGAATGAATCAAAATATCTGTCAGTCAGGAATGAGCTGAAGCAGAGGCAGAAAAAGAAAAAGATGGAGGAGAATATTTTTCTTCTTCTCCTTGTATTGAATCATTCAGTCTCCTCTGACACCAACCACTTCCAGCTCATTTTTCACTACATCCATGAAGCTTCCCTGGGTCTTCCTACTTTTCTCCAGCTCCATCTCCAACATCCGTTGTCTCACATAATCACCGTCTCCACTCAGCACATGCCCAAACCATCTCCACCTCACCACTGTGACTTTAACTGTCCCTCTGATCTCTACATTTCTAGTCCTGTTCATGCTGTTCTCTGACATCCTGATCTCCACTCCCTGACGTGAAACGGTGCCTCCTTCTCTGAACCGTACATCTGAGAGCACCAGCGATCACTTAAGACTCTGTTGTCCCTTCTTTAAATTATTGGTCTCAAACTCCTGGCCCAGGGGCCACTTCTAGCCCGTGAACCACACACACCCCACTACTAACTATCTTAGGTTTTTTGTTTGCACATTTTCAGGGCACTTTCTGAACTATTCTCTCCTCTATGACATCTCCGCAGCTACGTCTGTGGCCGCCACACAGGTTTCAGCAGTGACCAGTGACTCGGCCGGCTCCTCCTATTCAATCAGTGGCATTCTGGGTATCAGTTCAGCTACTGACGTGGGCAAAAGGAAGAGGGATGAAGGTAAGAAACAGTAAAAGATGTTCTGGTTACACTTTGAAAATCATCACATTTTAAAGCGTAAATGCTACATTTCTGCACAAAATCATTTTCTCCAACCCAGCCAAGGAACTCCTGGGGCAACGGTGTTATTTCAAACAAAACATCTTCACTGTGTAATAATAGTTTATTCACAGCGCTTCACAGGAGAGCGCCAGCGTTTATGTATGAACTATTGATCATGTCTGCTGTCACACTGGATCAGTGCTGCCCTCATGCTAATAGAGCTTTGACTTGTGACTGAGATTGCACACTGAAGGCTTCCAACTGTGCGTAGACTTTAGCGTGTGCGGCTGTGCACACATGTATGGACGTGCATGTGCATGTGGCAGTGTGAGTGGTATTAAAAAGCCATCACACAGACAGTCTCCTACGGCAAATGAGACAGGACCAGATGTCGGAGCGAGGGAGGGGGGGGGTACAGAACGCCCCAGGGGCGATTTTTTTCTCCCACACGTGCACACACACACACATATATACAGTAAGGAGTCCCTTTTTTCATCGCTGATGAATTTTCAAAACATGTCAGCAAGTCTCAGGCTGTATCCCAGGTGCACTGAGAATATTCTGATGTGCACAGATACGGTCAGCTTAACCATCACCTCTGACACACACACACACACACACACAAATCAACATTTTAATATTGATGTCATTTACCTGTGAATGGTTCTTAGGACTTTACTTTGGGATCCACCTTTGAAACCAATGGAAAGTCCTGTTGACACTGACTGATTAGAATAAGATGAAGAATGACTTCTAGGAAAGAAAATCTACACAGTGATCATATCATGATTTTGCTAAAACTTCCAATTAGAAATTGTTTTCAATTCGTGTACGGACACACATTTTATCCAGGTTGGAATCGTAACCAAAAAAAAGTAAAGTTGGTTCTAATGTTGGGTTAAAAAGAGCTTCTGTTTCTTCTGCAGCTCTAGTTCAAAACAATCTACAACCTTGGAATATCATCTATTGTGGGGTTGGGTTTGTAGTTAAAGTCCAAGTCTGTAATCCAATTAGCAGTATGATTACTTCACTTTGTTCTTCGTGTGTACAACAACCATGATGACTGGTCTGTTTGTATTATACGGAGTGGACCTCGTCATTTATATCATACCATTGTATCCCTTCACGTTCCACTGGAGCATTCAGGGCAGAGCATCATTGTGTGGCCTGGCATCACGTTTTGCAGTTGTGTTTTTATCGGCGGTGTGTCTGTGGCAGAGGTCTGCGCTGTTGGCTCTGTGGTCTAATTAACAGCATTGCTAATCACAGCTTCCATTAGAGCAGCCCCCGCTGGATAATGACACACACACACAGCAAGGGGCGACAGGGGGAACAGCATGCACTGACATGGACAGACAAACACATACACAAACACAATACGCAGCGTTCTCACGCACACACACACCCACGTCCATATGCTGGAGTGTATAGGCATTTGTATACAGAGGGAAGAAGACATCATGCCTTCAAGGCCAGTCGACTGTCTCACAGTGTTAACTCCTATAACATCATTAGCACAAATCACAAATAATAAACAAACTTAAAACTCTTATTCTAAAACAGGAAGCAACCGTGAACTATAACGGGATAGAATAATGACTGTAGTCCTTCTGGTTCTGCCAGGTTTTATTAACAAAATAGATAAACAGATAAACTGCTGCTAAACCTCTACAAGGACCTGCAGCTGGAGGCTGGAGGATTATGGTCGCTACAACCTAGCGCCTTCTACCTCTAAGTCGCACAGCTAAGTGCTAGTAGTGCTAGGAGAACTAAGAGCAGGCAGGCTCCTTCGTGCCACTTTGTATATCTAATTTTATTTTTGTTGTGATTTATTGCATACAACTGCATACCACTTCAAGGCTAGGCTAGTCTTGGCTAACCTATCTAACACCCTCAGCCTGGCTTCTTCTTTTGGCGTAACGATCTGACCCGTCTGTGTTGAATTACTGCCACCTACTGGGTCTATTTTGATGTGTGAAACCTTGTTCATTTACACAGGTCCAAAATGTTTTCTGTGACCCTCGTAAAACAAGGGTCAGGATCAAATCTTGTTTTGACTTTTCCTGTTGTATTTTCTCATGTTGTGTTGGTTGTAGACTTTTATTTTGCACTGTAAAACATATGTGCTGTAGTATGGCAGTGAAATACCATCGTTTTTGATATCTAATCAAATTACATCAAATTTACATTGATCGGCATATGTCATCTGTACTGGGGCTGGGAACACAGGAAGAGGGCTGAGAGAATATGGGCAGCAGGAGTGTGTGGGGGTAAAGCCCTGTGGTGACCTGTGCCCCCAGCCAAAGGCAGGGGAAGTGGGGGTTTGACCAGGAACAGAATATAGATGAACGCTCGTGAATGAAGGAACTTGACTTGTGGGGCCAAAAGGGGGCTATTGTATCTTAACCTATTCTTTGACACACAGTTGGTGTGTGAGTTGTTTTTTTTTTTCCTGGGTGGTGTGGGGCGGTTGAGGGGGGGCAATACAGGTGCTATGTATTTAGAAGGAATGTTTTTGTCGTAGACGGTGAATGAAAAGTCCTTTATTTATTTTCGGGAACGTCTGTGCTGCACAGTGGTCGTAGTACGGTATCACAAATCGATACTGTAAACAAAGATGAAATAGTGTTGACTGCATTTAGCCAGAATGCCAGGCTGACCTCTCACCCTCTTGTGCATCCACTGTGACGTGCAGCAGCTTACCCGATAAAAGATGCAGGCAGCAAGCAAGAGGAGTGAGGGAGAGGGGGGAGGAGGGAGGGGAGGGAGGGGAGGAGTGGATTCTCCCCTGAGTTCCTCTCAGTGTCTGGGTGCCTGCTGCTAAAACTTTGATCTGTGAAGTAAAGATGCAGAAAACGCACACACACATAAATGAAAGTCAGTGACAGATCCTGATCCTGATCCTGGATTCTCTCTTATATTCAGGAAATTTGGATCACCTGTTCTGTTTCTGTTTCTGTTTTTTTTTCTTTCTGAAAAATACCAATGGTAGGTCAAGGCAGGGCTGAAGTGAGAGAGAAGCAGGAGGTAGGTGTGGAGTTAGTGAGTTAAAGACGGAGTCAGAGGAGGCGGAAGAGAGAGGAAAAGGCAGAAGGTAGAGAACAATAAGGGCTCATTGTTTGTTTTGTTCTTCTCTGAAAAAGAGGGAAGAGAAGAGCTTCCCTTCTGAGACTGACTCACAGAGATAGAGGCAGCTGCGTGTGTGTGTGTGTGTGTGTACGTGTTTACACGTGTGCGTGCATGTGCGCGTATATCCAGCAGTGAATAGGATTTAACCCGTCACGGCAATGAGTTTCTTTACCCAACCATGGATACAATGAGACCAGCCGGATATCAAGCCACCCACCCACCCACCGTCACCCACACCCACATACCAAGATGCTCACACACACACACACACACATCTGCACATGTTGACACACATGACTTGATATTTATTACCACAAAATTAACAACATTCTGTCTGTGACTTCTTCAGTACAGTACAAACTGCACTTCACTGTCTCTGCTTTTATAGGTTTTCTGTTGGTTTGTGTCACTCTTTGTGCGTGCGCACGCGTGTGTGCGTGTGTGTAAGAGTAAGTGACAGAGAGAAAGAAGAAAGCAATAAGCTTGCTGAAATGGTGCCATCAGAGCTACATGATTGATCAATTGAATTCCATCTTGAGAACTGGCTGCTGGGATTAAATGGGTCACTGTGGGTTACCAGTCTAAAGCATCATACTGGCTTTATCTCCCCCGCTGATTGGTCTGTCACCAGAGACCTGGACCATACACTCTCACCGCTCTCACCGCTCACAGCATCTGTATATGAGGAGTGTGTGTGTGTGTGTGGCTACGAAATGAATTGAGATTATGATCAAGCAGAGTGTTTGGATGGGAGTGGGTGAGCGAGGGTCTGTGTACAGAGACGGTCTGACTTTTGTAAGGTAAATACACCGACTGATTGGGAAAGTTTGTTCTGGTTTTTTTTTTTTTAGTCGCAGTGCACCGTGTAGGTTTTTATTTATATTTTTCTTCATTTCTGCGTTGTAATCTTGCTAGTGAAATGATTTGGTTAATTGGACACCTTTCCTGCTTGTTCACTTTTTGAAACCTGGCTGCTGCAGGTTAAAATATTCCACAATAGCTAGTGGTTAGTGTCTACTGAATGGGACCGACTATAGAAAATGAGTACTGAAGATCTTAATCTAATGTTTCAGACCTTGGAGTCCCCAAGAAAAATTTTACTGATCTGAAAATAAGTAAGAATTAGTGTTGTTTTCTTTGCGATTTGCAGAGTTATTGACTTGAGGAACACAATCTTGCAGGATTTTTAGGAAACTGGAAAGTTTTACCTGTAAATAAATAATAATTCAGAAATAATATTTCAGGGAAATGTGTGTTTTGTTTATCTAAAACTTTAGTGGAAGAAACAATATATATTAGCTATAGCTATATATTTATGGTTTACGTAGTATGTAGCCTCAAATACAATAATCGTTACACACATTAGACACATTAATTTGTTTATCTAAAACGTTAGTGGAAGAAACGATATCTCGGGGTGGATGCAAAAATCTGCTTTTAATATGGTAAATTACTGTTACAATTCCATGAGCAAATACCTCACTCTTAGGAGGTGTTTCTACTGCCACTGGGTGAACAAAAGTGCAAAAACGTTTTAACCGATCTCATTAAAATTCTAGAGAATTCCAAAGGCCTCATACAGCAATAATATCATGAAAGTCATCAAAATCTGCCCGACAATTTGGTTGATTCTCCCCCCTCTCCTGATCACTACCGTCTGTCACTCTATAATCCCTCTGCCGGACACAGACTCACACTTACACACATACACACATACACACTCCCAGCACGCTCTGACCCCAGGACTAAAATAGACTCTCAGGAGCGGTTTGCAGCTATGAATTGGTTCTTTCGTGGGGATTTTCACCATCATCCCCCTTTTTCTCTTTATTTCTTCTCTGGTTCTCTCTTTTCTAATCATTTGTGGCCTGAGACTCTTCAGAGTTCTTATAATTGTCTCGTTCAGACGGCAGCCTCGAAATAACTGCAGGATACGAGGAGCTCACAGTCTAATACTGATAGCCAGGCAATATATATTTGTGTGTCTGCGCGTGTACGGGCGATACGACAGGAGAGACGGTCAAATGCGTATATATATACGAGAGGCGGGGGTGTACCTGGGAGAGATCAAGGAGGAGAGACAGTGTATGCTTGGTAATAGAGTGCATTGTATCACATTTTCTCAGCCTCTCTACAATCTACCAAGTCACTTGAATCCAAATCAGCCCAGTGGAGTTCATCTGGGTCTTTACTTCAATATGACTTTTCTCACCAAATATGTCTATGAAGCTGATTTTAACCAGTCCTTCATAGAGCCATACACACCAGACTCTAAAAGTACTTCATTTGTTCTTCTCTTAAATTATCTTCCCTGCTTTAAATGTGCTAAACATGAACCTACGCCAACTCATTTTCTATTCCCTATCTTGTCCGTACAGGTTTACAGGAGTCACCGCTGTCCAACGGACACAGTCACGGTGGGCGGGACTTCCTCAGGAAGCAGATGAGAGGGGAACTGTTTTCACCACAGCAGATCGAGGTATTGGACCGCCTGTTTGACAGACAGCCATCCTGTCCAATCCAGTCCAGCTCTGACCTCTATGTGAGCCCTGACTCTGGCAAGGTAAGAGCGGGGCATCATGTAGGCTCTAGGCTGTGGCTGAGTTTGGGAACAGGTATAAATGTCAAAGACTTGAGGGACTATCACTCTGAAGAAAAATGCAGGCATATTTTCCACACACTTTGTTTTATTCAGGCATATTTTCCACACACTTTGTTTTCTAGCGATTCACCAGGCAACTTGAAGATGAATAATAACAGACAAATGTTTACATGAATCTCTCTACACTTCTTGCTCATCTGTACTTAGTCGTGCTTCCTATGTTGGTGCCAACCCAGTGTGTTTGATCGACAGCGTAGACTGTCAGGCCTGGCCTATTGATGTTCCTATTATCTCCTACCACTGCAGAGGTTAATGAGCATATTGACCCTGCTTTTATTATGACCTCACTTCCTGCTGGTCTAGGACGCCAGTGAATCCTAACTCATGCTGCTGTCTCCAAAGATTTTGTTGATTTGAATGGGACAGAAAAAAATATGGAAGTAAATAAAAAAAATGACCCTGTGACCCCGTGACCTGAGAGGAAAAGTATATTATGTGAGAATCATAAAGTACTTTCAGATATTTCCCCTCCCTGTCTATAGTCAGTTGGTGACATCGTTGGTCGTGTCACACTGACACCTTTGGATTTGAAATAGTTCTGTGTTTGTTGTGTTTGTTCAGTCAATGTCAAGGGCAGGAGGAAACCACTCGATGGTGGAGCAGCAGTAAATGGAATCAAAGATAGGCTACAGCCTTAGACCTGAGGGGCAACTTTGGGCTTCTTAGTCCATTCACTGCCATCTGACCGACATGCAGGGTGAAGTGACACAGGGCGAGAGGTCGACAGGGATTGGCTGTAGTAGCTCTATAGTCCATGACTTGAGACTATAATACACATGATTCATAGGTCAGTGTCCTCGGTCAAGCCAGGTCAAGCCAATGGGGGTCAGGGGTAGGAGCTTTAAACCATGGGCTGCGTTGGGGTCAAACCACCAGCTTTAGAAGCCACACACACACACACACACACACAGGAAATCTATCCCTTTACCTCTACTTCTGCCTCTCATCCCGTCTAATCACGGAGCACTTCCTTTGTCCCAGCCTGCATTTCCCAGAGGGGGTGATTGACAGTCAAACCCTTAACACTGACACACTGACAGCAACAGCTCAGCCGCTTTGGAATGTGTGTAAACTGTGAGGTCTATGCGGGTGTGTTTTCAAGACGGTGTTGGTGATGTCACGGACAAGGAGGGTCACGCTGTGTTGTGACTGACGTTTGAAAAAGGCAGATAAACTTGGCCCTGTGGCTGCTGCAGAGGAATGTGGGTGTGGGGCTGCTTTTGGAAAAAAAACTTAAGTTACGAGGATATTATCTTGGAGAACAATTTAAAGGTTTGCCGCATGAGAAAATAGTACTTCCCCTTTTGAACTGCTTCCTCTTGGTGTTGTCATTTGAAAACATTATCAGCTGTTAACTGTGTCTGTCTATAGTGAATAAATGCAGACAGTGTGTAAACAATGGTCACAGAGTGAAGCAACATATATTATAAATGGCAGAGAGGAAAATACATAATAAAGCACGGAATTAGATGATATGCATATAAGTGAATTCTAGTGATTGACAGCTGGACAGTGACGAATAATGTCACAGATTACAAAAAGTTAATGGAGTTTGAAGATTTTGGTGTTAAATTCCAGCTACTCTCATTTCCTGTGTCCGAGTTTATGTGTGGAATCAGGAGTTTTAGAAGGTTTTAGTTTGAATTTCTAACTAAAACTAAAATGTGTTTTCTTGAACCAATCTCTTCTCTCCTTAATTCAGCTGCAATTTTTTTAATTAAAATGAAAAGTTTGTCTTCCTGACAACTAAGTTTTATTTTATCAGTCAAAAGTAGTTATTCTCCTCTCCTGTGTCACAGACCTTCACTTTTTCTTTCATTTTTTAACAAGCCTTGTGTCTCATCTCCTTCCTGCTCTTGTTCCTTCTCTTCCTGTAGTCGATTAAGCCCCACTATTAATTTGTGTGTGTGAGAGTGTGTGTGTGTGCGCGCCCATATGAGTGTGCCTGTCAGAGATAGTTCATTTGAATTTCCCTTCAATCCCTTCCTATTACCCAGGTGATAAATCAGCCAGCCTTACAGAGCCCCCACCCCTTCCTGCTGCCCTGCGTCCTAAAGCCCACCTTTGTACCGCCCATCAGCTTCACACTTTTGTTTCTTGTTTGCTACAGATGTAGTCCACACAGATATGGTACGGTTTTTACGACAGATTCCCAATGGAACCAACCAAACAATGGTTTGAAGGAGGGACAAGGGTGGATTTGAACCAGGGATATATAGGACGACAGGAAAGATTATTCACCACCAACAAAAATAAAAAAAAAACACATTGTAAAATTCACAAAAGAATAAATCTGAGTTCAAATGATGACGATTTTTTAAAAATTAGCCCGCTGGTTCACAATTTTTTTCTGACGCCCTTCTCCCAGCCCCATTCCCACGCTACCCTTTCAGTTTGAACTTAAAATCTAGTCAAAAGGTAAATATATATTTAAACCACTGAAATTCTTTATTATGTTATTCACGGTGGGACAAGCATTGAAAATGTATTGAAAATTACAAAATTAAATTTTGCGATACCCCTCGGCAGTATTTGTGGGTCGCCCGCAGTGCACTTTGTATCTGCATTAGTAGAATAGCATGTTAGCGTAGCAAAGTCCATATGTGCCCTGATCTGAGGTAATCACTACACAACAACATAATCTTTAACTACAAACTCTACATCATATTGACATATTGAGTCTTCAGTTCTACCTGTAGCCTGTATCACTGTAGCATTACTGTAGCAACGAACATCCTACTGCCTGTGGCACTTGGGTTGAGCACAGGAAAATTCCTTCTTCAGGATTCCTGAGTCTCAGTTTGGGGACCTGTGAGGAAATTGTATTTGTTTAGTGCGGAGCCATTTTTCCATCAGGGATAGGGGGAGACAAAGCGAGAAGATTGCGAGTGGGAGATGGAGAAATTGGGCGCTATTTGGGGAATGAAGGAAAAGGAAAATACTATTATGCAAATGTGGAAACCAACTGAGCTCTACCACTGAGTCTCGCTCTCTGTGTCTGCGTCCATGTGAGTGCGTCTGTGCATTAGGGCTCATCTGTTATTAATGTGAGGCTTCTCACCAAAACTATTGCCTTCCTGGCGTGTGTTTGTGTTTGTGTTTGTGTGCATGTACCAGTTCATCAAATTGTTGGATAAAGATATGTAATAACAATGATTTTATTTTAATCTCTTTTATAGTTATATATTTTTTCAGTCTAGCTGTGAAGGCTGAGGAATTACAATTTTTTAACGTTGATTTTAAGGCTATTAAAACACATTATTAGTGTTAATTATTTCTGAAATTATTTAGATTCAAAATTCTAAGGATATTTTAATTAACGTGCAAAATCAAATGTAATTCATGCTCATTGTCATTTCTACACAGTGTTTTTTATACAAACACATACAGTTTACCTGCTGTTGACCATTAGTTTAACAATCTACAGACATTTTAGGAATAATCTTGAATAATCGTGATTAAATGTCATTAATCCACAACTGCCCTTTGATTAATCAGATTAAAATCGTTTGACAGCCCTTGTTAAATTTCTTGTTTGATTTATTTTGTTTCCATCAATTCCTTCCTGCCTTTGTACCACGGCTTTAATGACTTCAATCAAACCAGCTGTAATTAGTTCATCATTTCTTCAAAGTTTCTCTGATGAATCATGTTCCATCTCCACTCGTCCTCCTTCCCTGTCACCGACCACTCGTTCTACTTGTCTTTGTCTTCTTTCCTTTCTTGTCCCTAATCCAAGTCTTTTTCTCGCCACTTACAAACTCCCCCACATCAACTACGACTACATCACCTACACCAAACACTCCAAGGCCCGGCCCCTCCATTGCCGAGCAGCTGCGTCCCTCCATCTTTGATGAGGGTTGATGG